TTCCTCATCCCTTCCCAAGCCAACCCATCATACCTTCACTTTTCATCAGTGGACCACTGTTTCTCCAACCTTCCAGTTTAGCTTTTCCACTACTTTATACTCTATATATCTAGTCTGTTTCCATTGGCTTTCTAAAGCCTTCCAAAGGTCCCTGCCCTGTCTCAAGCTATAATCTAATCCAGAGTTTATATGAATTTTATAAACTGTACAATGTGATAAAAGTGTAAAAGAAAATATAAATCTTGCTGAAGTTTAAATGCTCATTGAAAAAAATTTGGAAAATACAGAAAAACACAGAGAAGATAAAAGAATTTCCACTCAAAGTAATATGAATATGCAATTTGATGTGTTTCTATCCAGCCTCTTTTTCATGTGTATAATAAACTTTTCTGAAATGATAAAACAAATATTGTGACTATGTTGTATATTTAATATACTAAATTTATATTTAGTATACTTGCCATATTTAATATACTAAAAACATTTTAAAAATATTCTTCTATGTCACCATAATGGCTGCATAGAATCCTATTTTAGCTATCCTGTGATTTACTTAATCAATCTCTATTTATAAATATTTTGGTTGCTTTGGTTTTTTACTCTTAGGAATAGCACCCACTCTGATTATTTAGTTAGGATAATTTAAAAGTTCAGTTGTTGAGTCAAAGGTTGTGCTTATTTTTTTGTTGTGATTTAAAAAACCCACATAACATAAAACTTACCATCTTAAATCTTTTTTAAAAATTTTAAATTGAAGTATAGTTGATATAGAATATTACATGTTACAGGTGAAAAATATAGTGATTCACAATGTTTAAAGGTTATATTCCATTTATAATTTCTACAACATACTAGCTATATTCCCTGTGTTGTACAGTATATCGATGTAGCTTATTTATAGTTTGTACCTCTTAATCCCTTACCTCTTTTTGTCCCCTCCCCATCTTCCCACTGATTACCACTAGTTTGTTTTCAATACTTGTGAGTCTGTTCCTTTTTTGTTATGGTCACTACACTAGTTCATTTTATTTTTTAGATTCCACATATAAGTGATATCATACAGTATTTGTCTTTCTCTGTCTGACTTATCTCACTTAGCAAAATACTCTCCAAGTCCATCCATGTTGTTGCAAATGGCAAAATTTCATTCTTTTTTTTTGGATTGAGTAGTATTCCACTGTATATATGTACCACACCTTCTATATCCATTCTACATCCATTCATCTGTTGATGAACACTTAGGTTGTGTCCAAACCCAAACTGGCAATTGTAGACAATGACACTATGAACATTTGGGTGTACGTATCTTTTTTAATTAGCGTTTTCATTTTCTTTGAATATGTATATCCAGGAGTGGAATTGCTGGGTCAGGTGGTCATTTTATTTTTAATATTTTTAGAAACTTCCATATTGTTTTCCACAGTGGTTGCACCAAGTTACATTTCCACAAACAGTGTACAAGGGTTCCTTTTTCTCTACATCCTCAATAACACTTGTGTCTTTTTGATGATAGGCATTATGACAGATGTGAGATGCTATCTCATTGCCGTTTTAATTTGCACTTGATGAAAATGAAAGAGGAGAGTGAAAAAGCTGGCTTAAAACTCAACATTCAGACAACTAAGATCATGGCATCTGGTCCCATCACTTCATGGCAAATAGATGGGGGAAACAATAGAAACAGTGACAGACTTTATTTTGGGAGGCTCCAAAATCACTGCAGATGGTGGTTGCAGCCATAAAATTAAAAGACGCTTACTCCTTGGAAGAAAAGTTATGGCCAACCTAGACAGCATATTAAAAAGCAGAGACATTACTTTGCCAACAAAGGTTCATCTAGTCAAAGCTATGGTTTTTCCAGTAGTCATGTATGGGTGGGAGAGTTGGACTATAAAGAAAGCTGAGCTCTGAAGAATTGATGCTTTTGAACCATGGTGTTGGAGAAGACTCTTGAGAGTCCCTTGGACTGCAAGGAGATCCAACCAGTCCATCCTAAAGGAAATCAGTCCTGAATATTCATTGGAAGGACTGATGCTGAAGCTGAAGCTCCAATACTTTGGCCACCTGATGTGAAGAACTGACTCATTTGAAAAGACCCTGATGCTGGGAAAGATTGAAGGCAGGAGAAGAGGATAACAGAGGATGACATTACGGACTCAATGGACATGAGTTTGAGCAAACTCCGGGATTTGGTGATGGACAGGGAAGCCCAGAGTGCTACAGTCCGTAGAGTCTCAAAGAGTCGGAAATGACTGAGCAACTGAACTGAACTGAACTGATGATTAATGATGTTGAGCATCTTTTCACATGCCTGTTGTTCATCTGTGTATCTTCTTTGGAGAAATATCTATTCAGGTATTCTGCCCATTTTTCAACTGGATTGTTTGGTTTTTTGATGTTGAGTACATGAACTGCTTATATATTTTGTATATTAACTATTTATTGAACATGTCATTTGCAAATATTTTCTCCTATGTCTTTTCATTTTGTTGATGGTTTCCTTTGCTATGCAAAAGATTTTAATAATTTTCCACTTGTGTGTTGCTTTTATTTCCTTTGCTTTAGGAGACAGATCAAAAATTGTTACAATTTATGTCAAACTTGTTATGCTCATGTTTTCTTCTAGGATTTTTAAGGATTTTGGTCTTATATTTAGGCATTTAATCCATTTTGAGTTTATTTTTGTGTATAGTGTTAGGGAGTGTTCTAATTTCATTGTTTTACATGTAGTCGTCCAGTATTCCCAGCATAAATTATTGAAGACACTGTCCTTTCTCCATTGTATATTCTTACCTCCTTTGTTGTAGATTAATTGACCATAAGTGCATGGGTTTATTTCTGGGCTCTGTATACTGTTCCATTGATCCATGTGTCTATTTTTGTGCCTATACCATACTATTTTGATTACTGCAGCTTTGTAGTGTAGTCTAAAGTCAGAGCACATGATTCCTCCAGGTCTGTTCTCCTTTATCAATATTGTTTTCACTATTCAGGCTCTTTTTTGTGTCCATGCAAATTTTAAAATTACTTGTTCTAGTTCTGTGAAAAATGCTCTTGGTATTGTGATAGGGATTGCACTGAATCTAGATTGCCTTTGACAGTATGGTCATTTTAACAACCGTAATTCTACCAGTCCATGAACATGGTTCATCTTTCCATTTGTTTGTGTCTTCAATTTCTTTCATCAATGTTCTATAATTTTCCAAGGACAGGTCTTTACCTCCTTAGGTGGGTTTAACTATTTTTTAAGTGTGCAGTGCTGTGGTATTAACTATTTACACAGTGTTGTGCAGCTTATCTCTAGGGCTTTTTCATCTTGCAAAACTGAAATTCTATACCCATTGAACAGCTTCCCTTTCCCCCACCCCAGTCTGTGGCAATCACCATTCTACTTTTTTAAGAATTTGACTACTTTAGATATCTCACAAAAACAGAATCAAGCATTATTTGTCCTTTTGAGGGGTTATGCTCATTATCAAGGCTTTTGCTGTGCAGTGATAAACTGGCTTCTCAAAAGGTTGTGATAATTTACATTTTGACTGAAAGTGTGTGAGTGTCCATCAGGCTATACTTTCACTGCTGCTTAGAAGCCCCCTTTTGTTTCGCTTCTTGCCTAGTCCTTGAAGGAACAACAGGAGTGGACACGCCTGGGATTTCCCAGGCAAGAATACTGGAATGGCTTGCCATTTCCTCCTCCAGGGGATCTCCCTGACCCAGAGATGGAACCTGCAACTCCCACACTGCAGGCCGATTCTTTACTGCTGAGGCACCATCGAAGCCGAAAATTACTATAAATAGTTATAAAAATGTAACTTCAAAAAAAAAGTAACTAAAGTTATCGATTGTCAGTGAACTTGAGCGTTTCTCTTCATTTATATTGGCTACTTATACTTCTGTCAAGACTTCCTTTCTTCAAAGCATCCTAGTAAACGGGGTCTCACTTGATCTTCCTAACAAGTTTCCGAATCCAGAAGACGGCAATCACCATCCCTCAGCGAGTTACAATTCTAGCCCCAGGTTTCAGATCTCTCCCTTCAAAGCCTAGCAGCTGTCCCAGGAAAACTCCCCCAGGAAAAGTTTCAGCTACCGGTACCCACTCGCCCCAGCCCCAGCTCCAGCTCCTGAACCTAAGCTGGGAGTACAGACACGCTTTCTGCGCCCGCGCAAGCCGGCCTGTGGGCGGGGCCTTGGCCCGCCGGTCTGCCCTCCGGTTCCTTGCCCCGCCCCAGGCCCCACCCCCAAGCCCCGCCCAATCCGAGGCGCGGCAGGCTCAGAAGCTAGGCCCAGAGGTAGGGGAAGGTGAGGGTCCACGCGTGGGGCCTTGCCGCGGCGCGGCGGGGCCGGTATCCTGAGGCCGGGGAGGAAAGGCGCCGAGTCCCGAGCGCCGCCCGCCTCCCGCCGCCATTTTGTACCGGGAGAGGGCGGTGGCGGCGGGAGGGGAGCTCCCCTGGGGCCGGGCTTGGGGCCCGGGCGGGGCGGTGGCGGAGGGCGGGCCCGGCAGGCTGTTACCAGCTGGGAGGACAGAGGTGGGGTCCCGAGGTTGGCGGACGCCTGATGCTCGGGCTCCCCGCCGCCCCGCTTCGAGACTTCGGCTGGCCGGTCCCTCTGGGCCGCGGTGTCCGGCAGTGACACGCTGGATGCAGCCCGCGATAGAGTAGGAAACCGTTCACTGGGCTTTTCGCGTTTGGTGCTCACACCGCCGCTGGTGGGAGGGGCCGGGGAATGGACCGTTGTTCTCTTGGGCAGATGGGGAAAACTAAGGCTCGGAGTGGGGATGAGATTTGCCTAGAGGCACTCAGTGAGGTGCTGGCAGTAGGACTCAGGTCCTATTCCTCCAATGCAGCGCCCTTTCCTCCGGGGCCCCTCTGCCTCACCTGCCAAAGGAAGGAGCTGAGGTACGGCCTAAGTTTCTGGAAGTTCGTTCGTTCTTTGTTTTTAGATCAGCCTTCCTCTGTACCATCCAGGTTAGAGGTCACTAAGAAGTATACGGAAATCAAGTCATGGATCCACCTTCACGTAAAGAAAAGCCCAAAGTTAAAGAGCCTGCCAGCAGAATCGAGAAGGCCAAGCAGAAGTCAGCCCAGCAGGAGCTGAAGCAGAGACAGAGAGCAGAGGTGAGCGTGAGGAGGGCCCGTGTACCTGTCGTTTGCTGGAGATGATGCTGGAATAGGGAGAGCAGAGAACGGTATAGGGGAGCCCCGCCTGCCTCCAGCTAAAAACAGGGTTCTCCTAGGTGTCCAGAGGAGATCTCTGAGGACCAGATGGTGAGGCGGCAGACCAGTCACATGCCAAGTGTCAGGAACCCCACCCCCACCCCGACCAGTCCCAGGTGGTCTCCTGATGACCCCTGGTGCAGAGCTTTTGTGGCCGAGTCCTGAGGGAAGGAAGAAGGGAGAAAGAAGGGCCGTGTGAGGGAGGGTCCTGTAGGGGAGTCCAAGAACAAGTGTCAAACACAGATGTCCTGGATTTGGCCTGGAGAGTAGCTGCTCCTGATTCAGGAGTAGAGGCCCAAGCTCTACACTCACCACTGTGTTCCTTTGTTCAATCTGCCCTTAAAAGTCTATTTGACTGTTTACATGGATATTTTACTTTAGTATTTAATATCAGGAAAAAGCTTACTCTGGTCTTTTCCCTGTTTCTATTTCTTTTCTGTTTTTTTTTTTAATTTCTAACAAACACCCGGGTACTCAGCACCCCAGATTGGCAGTGTTTAACATTTTGGCATATTTGCATGTAATCTTTTTTAAGATAAATAAAAATTACCTGTAAATTTGAAATCCCCTTTCTCCATTTCCTGTCTTATGCCATTTTTCCCCTCTTTATGGACAACCATGATTTTTTTTTAATACTTTTACATTCAAATATATTAGTAGATATTCTTGAACAGTATAAAATTTTTTGTTTTAAAATCTTAAACTAACTGCATATGTTTTATTTTGCATTATGTTTTTTCAGAATTATTCATGTTAATGTAAGAATCTAGTTTATTCATCATCATTGTTTATAATAATCTACTTTGTGAATCTACGTATATTTACCCCACCTTCCAGTGATGAATGTTTAAATGATTTATAGGGTGTTTTTTTTTTTGCTGTTACAAACAGCGCTGTAGTGAAAACCCTTTAGATGTCTCCTTTGACTCCTATACTGGAATTCCTATAGGGCGAATATAACTAGAAGTAGAATTATGGGGTACATTTTCAAATTTATCAGATGTTGCCAAATTGTTTTCAAAGAGATTATACAAGTTTGTACCCATATTAGCAGGGTAAGAGGGTTCAACATCCCTCACTTCTTTTTCAGTGCTTAATAGTGTCAGACCTTAAACTTTTGTTAATATGATCCAGTCACTAACAGCATTGAACTGCGACTACCTGCTAGGCACTGTTGTGGGCATGGAGGCATCCCTGCCTTTGTGCAGCTTGCGTTCAGTGAAGAAGGCTGTCAAAATGAGTAAATTTAATAGTGTGTTTGAAGTTAATCTATAAACTGAAATTTGCCTTTGGATTAAGTCAGACCATCTGAGAGCTGCGGACCTGGCTTCCAACAGATTGTTCCCACTTTACTTCACCTCCCCATCCCCACCTGGACCCAGGCCCCCAGATGATTTTACTGCATTGCACTTTGGTGAAAGTTGGAGAACCGCCATAAGAAACAGCCCTAGGAAACTGTCCTTTGTGCACACGGCAGTGATGGATGTCATTGAGGACATTGTTCATACACTCATTGACACCCTGTTGGTGAGGTTTCACGGGTTACACTTACTTGTCTGATCTCAAATCCCAGCTCCTCCATAAGTTCCAGTTCTTCCCAGGTTAACTTGGGCAAGATACCTAACCTCTCTGAACCTCAGTTCTTCAATTCCTCCTTGGTAAAATGAGGATGATGACATCAGTCACATGAGTTTGTTGTAAGCAGAAATGCTGTATCTAAATCTCATAGTACAGTGCCTGCCCCAGAGAAAGCCCTCGAAAATAGCAGTGATGGTTACCACGAGTCGCTGTGCTTTCATTGTGCTCAGTCTAAGTTGAATGTGCTGACTTGCTGAGCTATCATATTGGACTTGCACTGTTGTAGCAGCTGGCACTTGTTGAGCTCCTCAGATGTGCCAGGCACGTGCCTGACCACATGTTATCTTCATACTGGTGTGTATTACTGTTGCTCTCACTTTGACCTTTGTAAATCCTTCCTGGAATAAAGATGGGAGATATGACATACGTGACCTTGTGAGGTAGGAGGCATTATCCTCATTTAAAGTGGGGTGTGCTGACCAGAATCCCTAGGTGGTGATGGACTGAGGGGCAGGCCTGCCATCTAAACAGGTCTCTTGACATTCTCCCCTGCTTCCAGCTTTGCCCCACAGCTGCTGGTTCATCTGTGTGGCCTGGAATGCAAACTCCTAAGATAAGAATGTGACAGGAGCCCATGAAGGGAGGCAGAAACAGTTTCCGTTCAGTTTTGCATAGATGCCACATTCCAGGAAGTGAGATGAGGAGAGATGAGAGGGGAGAATGGAAACAGAGGCCCATTTGGCAGTTGAAGCAACATTTGGAACTTTTGGTGACCATTTCTTCCTTGAAAGTCTTTCATTCCTTGGCTTGTACCCTTGACCCATTTTAAGTCTTCTTTCTCTGCTTAGTATAAATATATATTTAATACATAATAATATATATAATACATATAAATAATATATATAAAATGTGTTTGTACTCTTAAAGAAGATGAATAAAACAAACACCCTACCACCCAACTACAGAAATAGAACATGACCATGCATTAAAAGCTCCTCAGGCCTCACTCTGGCCGAATCTCCAGCCTTCCCAGGAGTAGTACCTATGGGAACTGCAGTTCCCTGAGGAACTGAGGGAAGCAGTACCCTCCATCCTTAATTTTATGCTAATCACCCCCTTGCTGTTCTGTATTAATTTACTGTTTCTGTGTGTACTCCCACATAATACTGTATAGCATAACAGTGTATCATCTAGTTTTGCATGTTTCTAAACGTTATGTATGCTACCATATTCCATGACTGGCCCTGTTCACTGAGCAATGTTTTTTTTAACCACTCAAATTTATTTATTTGTGTTTGTTAAACATACATAAAACGTGACCATTTTAACCATGCTTTTTGAGAATCATTTCAGTTGTTTGAAACTGTTTTCATCACTTCAATGTATGGAGTTCTATTTTCCTTGAAGGTATAGAATCTTACCACAATTTTTAAAAATTGGGGGAAAAAAGATTGTAGGATTATTCAAGCTTTCTATTTAGTCAGTTTTGAATATTTTACTCTTCCTCAGAATTTGTATCATTTAAGTTTTCAAACTTATTGACACAAAGTTCATAGATTTTAATTTCTACTCTGGCTTCCCTGGTGACTGAGACAGTGAAGAATCTTCCTGCATTGCAGGAGACCCAGCTTTGATCCCTGAGTCAGGAAGATCCCCTGGAGAAGGGAATAGCTACTCGCTCCAGTATTCTTGTCTGGAGAGTTCCACGGTCAAAGGAACCTGGCAGGCTACTGTTCATGGGGTTGCAAAGAGTTGGATATGACTGAGCAACTAACACACATGTATCAGTAATTATGACTTCTTTTTAATTCTGATAATATTCGTGCAGCCTCACTTTTATCTCGACAAGTCTCAGAGGTTTACAGAGTTTTCTTTAGAATTTTCAAAGAACCATCTTGCAGTTTCAGTGATCCTCTCTGTTATACATTCGCTTGCCTTTTCATTAATTTCTGCTCTTATTTTATATTTTCTATTTGTCTCACTTCTCAGGGTTTCTCCCTTCTCTTTTTGATTATTCAAATTTTATCCCCTACACACAAACATGGCTCTTTTCTTCTTCTGTACAAATTTGGAGGTTTTACATTGTTTCTGGTTCTTTGGTGGACTGATTAATTACTGAAAGGTGAAGCAATAAGGTAGCTACCCTGCCTTTCACCTTGGAATGGCTCTTGCTGTTTTCTTCTCCCTCCACTGCCTGCCCTGGGTCACGTTCCTACTACGTCCTACTTAGACTGTTGTAACAGATGTCTCCTAAGTGCCTGTGATCTCTCCTCCCTCACTGCCAGTTTTCTTTCTCAAAGCACAGATATAATCAGGTTTCTTCCCTGCACACTTATCTCTCCAGAGTCGGCCAGATAAAGTCCAGATTATTGGTGTGGCATTTAAGAGCCTAACATACTTTTCTTTCTTTCTCCAGCTTCCCAACCTTTTGTATTTAGCATACTTGAAGTTTCTAGAACTAATGCTATGCTTTTACATTATTTAGTCATAATATCCATTGTTCTATCACTTAGGTCCTTTCCCCAGTCTCTACCTGTTTAAATCCTGTGTGTGTTAGTCTCTTAGTCATGTCTTGACTCTTTGCAACCCCATGGACTGTAGCCCACCAGGCTCCTTTGTCCGTGAGGATTGTCCAGGCAATAATACTGGAGTGGGCTGCCTTTTCCTTCTCCAGGGGATCTTCCTGACCCAGGGATCGAACCCAGGTCTCCTGCATGGCAGGCGGATTCTTTACCATCTGAGCTATAGGGAAGTCCCACCAATCCTTTTTTGGGGGGGGTGGGGGGGGGGCTCTGTGGGCTCTTCGTTGAAGTATTCAGGCTTTTCTCTAGTGCTGTGTGACTTCTCTTGTTGCGGAGCATGGGCTCTGGAGTGAACAGGCTCAGTAGTTGTGGTGCATGGGCTTAGTTGCCCTGCATGTGGATCTTTACTTCCCAACCAGGGTTCGAACTACATCCCCTGCGTTGGAAGGTGGATTCTTAACCACTGGAGCACCAGGGAAATCCCCTACCCGTCCTTTCAAGGCCAGGTCAAGCACCTGCCTCACTGCTTCTTTCCTGATTCCCCAGTGGAGCTACTGTTTGCCTCTCCAGTTGCTTTATCACTGCCCCTGCATTACTGATGCAGTTCTGGCATTTTCAAATGCCACAGCCTGTGGTGTCTGAAGACAGGTTGAGCAGCTGCCTCCACTGTTAACATATCTTTTTCTCCTATTCAGATCTATGCCCTCAACAGAGTCATGACAGAACTGGAGCAGCAGCAGTTTGATGAATTCTGTAAACAGATGCAGCCTCCTGGAGAGTGAACCACCCCTGCGTTCACACTAGATGGGACCCTGGAAGCTTTGTTTATGAGCGTGTTACCAGTTTAAAGCTGAGATGGCCCATTTGGAGCCTTACACAACTAGACAAAAAGAGATTTGCGTTATTCCTGAAACTGGATAAATCGGAACTTCCTGTATGTAACTTGCTTCACTAGTTCCTCCAATCGGAATTGGCCCATTGCTTGCTGAAGAGACTTCTTCTATTCTTCCAAGAAAATACATTCTTTTTTTTTTTTTAACTTTTTCTATTGTTTGAAAAAAAAAATCAGTGTTTCTTCTGAAACTGTAAACCTTCTCCAAAAATACAAATAAAATACTAATAAAATGTTTGTTTGCTTATACTTTAGGGTGCCTAGTCATAAGAAAGTGGAGTCAAAAAGAATGTAATAGGTAGGAAAAGTTGACGTGAGCAGAGGAGAGCCTTTTTCCTTCAAGAAGGGAACAGAGGTGAGAGGACAGAAAGAACATGACTGTTTCCAGATTTCATTCTTCTTGAGGCTAAAGCTCTGCAGACCCTACAGATCCTAAGTTTTTAGCTATACAGGTGTAAATATATGACTTTTACTCCCAGATTAGCCACTACTCAGAGCCCTGAAGCTAAGATTCCTGTCACCCTATGAATCTGGAGAGCTAGCAGCAGACTTGTACCAACAGGGGGAGGAGGGGAACGAAGTGCTTTTGGTTTTTCATTTTGTATTTTATTGGGCCTAGAAGCAGAATATGCATGGAAATGAGGCTGATTACTCAGAGGGTACAAAGGCCAACATTGCCTCCTCTGTTACTCTCTGCGCTAAAAATTTACCTTTATTTTTCCTAGTGGTTCTGAGAACATCTCTAGCAATTCCCACCTCCTCTTTGTCTCCCCACCGCTCTGAAGTCACTGAGAGTTCTGTTCCCACTCCTATGCTTATTTTGGCAATAAATCGTGATGTTAAGGAACTTGTCCCTACAGAGAATGTGTTCAGAGAGCCTAAATCGTAGTTAAGGATAACCTTTACACAGATTATCCCCATAAGTAGTAATTAGGTTCTATAGTGTCCTGTTGAATTTGAATTGAATGCAAATTTTTCAGTTTTATGTTTTGGAGGAATGGGGGTTTGGAGTAAGCTGTCATCATAAACATAAGGAAATGATGTAGTATACTAGAAAAAACAGTGTTTTGGGGTCAAGTATAGTTCTTATTACTTTGGATAAGTTATTAATCTCTCTAAGCCTCACTCTTCTCCCATCTGTGTAATGGAGTAATAATTTCTTCCTCTCAAGATCATTCATCAAGAAATAATGTATGTAATAACTACTCAGTAAATACTACTTCCCAGCTACCTTACTTAATGGGATATGTTTCAAATTTCAAATAACCAATTAATATATGAATGTTGGGAAAGATTCTGATCCTTAGTTGGGAACTGCTTGTATTAACATGTCACAGCCCTGGATATAGTTTATCCTAGAGCAGTGTTCTAGTATTGCAAACTGTAGGTGGTTGTCAAATCAGTTTAATAAATTATGACTAGCTTATCTTTTTAATTAAACAATAGGGGCCTACCTGGTGGTTCTGTGGTTAAAAATCCACCTTGCAATGCAGGGGATGCTGGTAGATTCCACATGCTGCAACTAAACATTGGCATGCCAAAACTAAGACCCAGTGCAGCCAGATAATTTTTTTTTTTAAAGCTTTTAAAGAACAGATTTTAAAAATCAATGTGGTGAAGATATTATTTCATGAAACTTGTTTCAGCTTTCAGTTTTTTACCATCGAGTATAATGTTAGCTGTGTGTTTGCACATATGGACTTGAATATGTAGAGGTACATTCCTTCTATACCCACTTTATTGAGAGTTTATCATAAATCGGTGTTGAATTTTGTCAAACACTTTTTCTGCATCTAGTGAGATGATTATATGATTTTTATCCAGTCATTTTGTTAATGTGGTATAGCACATTGGTTTGTGCATCCTAGAATCCCTTAATCCTTAATAATCCACTTAATCCTTTTAATATATTAATCCTTTTAATATATTGTATATTTGGTTTGCCAATATTTGTTGAGGATTTTTGTGTCTATATTCAGTAGTGATACTTGTTTGTAATTTTCCTTTTTTGAGTGTTTTCTCTGTTTGCTTTTAGTGTAGGGTGTTGTGGGCCTTATAAAATAGGAAGTATTCCTTCCTCTTCAATTATTTGGAGTAGTTTGAGAAGGATATTAAGTCTTCTTTGAATGTTTGGTAGAATTCACCTAGGCCCCACCAGGCCCAGGCCCTGGACTTTTATTTTGGGGGAAGTTTTTGATTACTGTTTCAGTCTCTACTAGTGATTGATCTATTAGGATTTTCTATTTCTTCATGATTCACTCTTGGAAGACCTTCCTTCTAGGTTGTCCAATTTGTTGATTTATAGCTGATCTAACCTTTTGTATTTCTGTCATATCCATTGTTATTTCTCCTCTTTCATTGCTGAGTTTATTGGTACCTCCTCTTTTTTTTTTTTCTTAGTGAGTCTAACAGTTTTTCAGCTCTCAACTGATCTATAACTATCCTCATATTGCTAACCTAAATTTTTGTTTGAGGTGATGTAGTATGATTATTATTGTTATAAACAAAGTACAATGTGTATTTTCCCTTTCAAAGCATTCCTCTGGGAGTCTACATATTTATTTCAGCTCTGCTGCTATGGCTCAGAATGGATATGGAAATCCTCTTTCAGAATTGCATTTTCTTCCTTTGAACACAGTTCAAGTTCTAGAAATAGCCAGAAGTCATTTGAGGCCAAAATCAACAGCTAATTTGGTTTTGGTTTAAAAAGAAGATATCATTGGCTAATATTAAATATTATTAGGTTTTTAGACTAATTTGGTTGGCTCCAAGCAAAATAAGTATTTTTTGAGCACCTATTATGTCTAGGCACTGTGCTAAGTGCTGTCTTGTTGTATATGTCTGTATATGTTTCTGAGTGTGGGACACTGTGGCAGGCAGCAGAAACTTGAAAATGTAAACTGAGGGAACTTAAAAATCTAAAACAGAGCTATTCATCTATCCATGAAAAAAAAATGTAAGTGCTATAACAGATATGAACAGAAAGCCATGGAGAAAAGAGGGTGCTGTCTTTTCCTTTAGAGCCAAATCATAGCAATGTGGACTTTTTTCACTGGACTTTTTTCATTTAACTTTAGAGTTAATGCATACTTGCAATATATATTATTCTGCAAACTTCAAGAAGTTAGGCCCGAGATAAAGGTGGTCTGGTGTGCTGGCTGAGGAAGGGGCTGTTGCTGCTACTGCTAAGTCGCTTCAGTCGTGTCCGACTCTGTGCAACCTCATAGACGGCAGCCCACCAGGCTCTCTCCCGTCCCTGGGATTCTCCAGGCAAGAACACTGGAGTGGGTTGCTATTTCCTTCTCCAAAGCATGAATGTGAAAAGTGAAAGTGAAGTTGCTCAGTCATGTCCGACTCTTTGTGACCCCATGGACCACAGCCTACCAGGCTCCTCCGTCCATGGGATTTTCCAGGCAAGAGTACTGGAGTGGGGTGCCATTGCCTTCGAGGAAGGGGCAGAATGAGCCAATGATCCTCTAGTACACCACCTGGAGGTGGAAAGTCCAGAGGCAGTGCTGCGAGCGTGACTTTTAGTGGGCCTGAGTTCTCTATGACGTGCCACTTGAGGGTTCCATACAGTTCTCTTTATTTCTGTTCAATCTGGATTTTAGGATATGAAACGTCCTTTGAATATCTTGAGTTTAGTATTTTTAGAGCTTAGGGAAAAGAAAACACATAATGAGATCCTGGAGGCCAGATGATGCCCTCAAGATGCCAATGTGTCTAATCTCTAAACAAAGCAAAAAGCATAAGTTTTAATTGTGAAAATAGAGAATATTAAGTTACAAAATCCTACACATAAATGGGGCAACAGAAAATGCCCTGCCATCAGCTCCGCTCTACACAGCCAGAGTCTATAAATGTAAGAAACCCGTTAGTAAGCCCCACCTTACCCCTGGAGTCATTACATTCAGGCAGGACAAGGCGGAGGCTACACCAGTTCTGAAGGGTTTCATTCATGTCCAAGGGACAAACCTTAGTGCACCAGGTCACACAGCTGGTAACAGAACCAGAACTCAAACCCAGCCCAAGTTTAGCTTGGAAAAAAATCTGTTCTGTATGACACAAACTATTGTCACCAAGGGATTCAGAATCCTGAATAAAGAGGAAGAAGTACAGGCCACTCGCCCGACTGTGAGTTGCTCTGGTTCGAGGCCACATGTATCTGCACTGCATAACAGAGACAAGGAAAGATTTAGTGAGGCTGAGGCAAGGTTTGGCCCACCATGCTGGCAGAAACCCCACAGAGGCCAGTGGGAGTGGGTAGGGCTATTTAATATCTTCAGTACTATGGCCGATGACATGCTGCCTTGCCCCACAGGGCATCTGGAAAGAAGATGTAGGAGAGTGACCACGTCAGGCAGTAAAAAGCAGTTATTGAGAATGGACACAAAAACAGCATGATGACACCTAGAAGAGGGAAAAAGACAAACACTCAATTTTTATGAAGCTGCCTTGTGTGTATTTTCCACCCTCTAAGTCCAATCCCCATCTTTTCAGCCTTCAGTTTTAACTCACACTAAAACCATTGACACATGAGCCTTACCTTTATGAAGTTTGTGTAACTAGATAATTACAGTCTAAGGCAATCTCTATTTCTTTGCATTGTTCACTTAAGAAGGCTTTCTTATCTCTCCTTGCTATTCTCTAGAATTCTGAAAGTGAAAGTGTTAATTGCTCAAAAATTCTGAAAGTGTTAATTGCTCTATTGTGTCTGACTTGTTACAACCCCATGAACTGTAGCCCGCCAGGCTCCTCTGTCCATGGAATTCTCCAGGCAAGAATAGTGCAGTGGGTAGGTATTCCTTTCTCCAGGGGATCTTCCCTACCCAGGGATCAATCCCAGGTCCTCTGCATTGCAGGCAGATTCTTTACTATCTGAGCCCCCAGGGAAGCTCTGACTATTGAATATTCATTGGAAGGACTGATGCTGAAGCTGAAGTTCCCATACTTGGCCACCTAATGCGAAGAGCAACTCATTGGAATAGACCGTGATGCTGGGAACGATTGAGGGCAGGAGGAGAAGGGGGAGACAGTGGATAAGATGGTTGGATAGAATCACCAACTCAATGGACGAGTTTGAGCAAACTCCAGGAGTTAGCGAAGGACAGGGAAACCTGGCGTGCTACAGTCCATGGGATCACAGAGTCAGACATGACTTAGCAATTGAACAACAACAATGCCATCTCAGATTCCGTGTTGTGAAATTCAGATCAGAAATCAGTCTTAGCCAAGAATACATTTGAGTTGCCTGGATCTCTTGTTAGAAAAAGAAAAGGAAAAAAAAATGTATATTCATACTGTTTCAAGTTTAACATGTGATAGGGGTCAATACAGTATTATACACATGTGGAAAAGAGGTAACATGGCAGGCTCAGGACTGCTATCCTTAGAAAATCCTGCTTGCAAGGTGGGCCAGGAGCCTAGAATCTTGAATAATAAAGTTTCCTACACTGATAAAAACTGATGAGAGCAACTGGTTAAACAAGTGAGGTAGTTAACGCAGAACGTTGATTTCCTTCTATGGAAGTCTGGAATTTTCGTACATGCTAGGCAGAGGGGAGGGGCTTCCCTAGCGGCTCAGTGGTAGAGAATCCGCATGCCAATGCAGGAGACTCGGGTTCAATCCCTGGGTTGGCAAGATCCCCTGGAGAAGGAATGGCAACCCACTCCGGTATTCTTGCCTAGGAAATCCCATGGACAGAGACGCCTGGAGAGCTACAGTCTATGGGGTCACAAGAGATGCACACGACTGAGCAACTAAACCACCACCAGGCAGAGAGGACCTGTGTGTCCAGCCCCTGTAAATGCCTTCAGCACTGAGTCTCTAAAGAGCCTCCTAGAGGACAGACCTTCACAAACAGTGTCACAATTCAGTGCTGGAGAATTGTGTCCTGCCTGACTCCACGGGGAGGGGATGCTTGGCAGCTTGCACCTGATTCCCTCCAGACTTAGCTCCTTTCAATTTCCCCTTGACTGATTTTGCTTTATCCTTTTGATATAACACATCTGAGCTATATGTGTGACTCTGCAGAATCCTGTGAGTCCTCCTAGAGAAGCACTGACCCAGGGGTGGTCTTGAGGGAGCACCCCCCCCCACTCCACTCCCACAACACAATTTCAATCTCAGATTTACCACCAAAGGGCACCAACATCTGTGGAGATCTACATTGCACTAGAGGCTTCCCAGGTGGCTCAGTGATAAAGAATCTGCCTGCCAATGCAGGAAACACATGTTCAATCCCTGGGTCAGGAAGATCCCCTGAAGGCGGAAATGGCAACCCACTCCAGCATTCTTGCCTTGGAAATCCCATGGACAGAGGAGCCCAGTGGGCTACAGTCCATAGCGTCACAAAGAATTGTACATAATAGAGCACAGGCACACACACTTTGCACTAGACAGTCTGCTAGGTAGGTTACAAAAAGTACTTTATGTGCATTTCAGAATTACCCTGTGATTTAGGATTAAGTCTGTTTTTCAGATAAGGAAACAGAGGGGATATAATTCGGACAAGGTCCTGATTCAATCCCTCATCTGCCTGGATGTTAAAAACTAGACACAGACTGCTTCAGAAAGCTCAAATGGAGGGAGGGAGTGTATAGTCTATGGCATTTCCCTGAGAGGAGCCAGCATATATTCCTCAAGAGAAATCAGAACATGGGACCTGAAAAAGACCACTTCTAAGGATAAGAGGCAGTTACAGAAAGGTATTGGAACATTGGAATACTACATCTAGAGAATAGTCATTGGTCTGTTGAGTTACTGAGAGAAGGTTTTAAACCAAAGCTATCCTGGGAAAAGGCCTCAGTAGCCGTGCAGCAGCTCCTCAGATACAGAGCTCTGTGGGGAGAAGGGAACTTGGTCTAAAAGGTGACTGGCTGCACTCCAGTATCTACAGCAGGCATTTTGAAATCTATCCAGCAGGCCTTCAGCATCAACTGGGGTCAGGGTTGTGAGGTGCAGCCTCCCCTTTGCCCACACAGCACAGACAATCCAAGGAAGGCTGTCAAATGTGCCATCTATTTTGAGAAGAGGGGCTCAATGGTGTCTACAAAGAACACTGTGGGAAACACTGCTGCAATGAGATAAGAGAAGGGTAAGTGAAGGGGGCTAAGAAGTTTCCATTTACAGGACACATCTGTGCCAGAGGATTTATATACATTACCTCATTTAATCTCAAGAATCTTGCAAGGTAGGGATTATCAGCTTCGTCTTATAGATGAAGAAAACTGCAGCAGGCTCAAATTCAGGCAACTAATATGTGCTGAAGTTAGAACTTGAACTCAGGTCTGTTTAGCTCCAAACCAGGTGTCTTCTCCCCTCATTGTGCCTCCGCCAACTGGGACACAGGAGGAGCCAGCACTTAGAACTTGGACAGGGCTGTGGGTGCTAATGCTACAGCAGAAAGGGTGTGAACTTAAAGGGGAGAGTCAGGATGGAACCCAGGACCCTTAAACCAAGTGAAAGTGTTAGTCACCCAGTCACGTCCGACTCTTTGTGTCCCCATGGACTGCAGCCTGCCAGGCTCTTCTGTCCATGGGGTTCTCCAGGCAAGAATACTGGAATGGTTGCCATGCCCTCCTCCAGACTCAAGGATTGAACCTGGGTCTCCTGTATTGCAGGCAGATTCTTTATCATCTGAGCCGCCACTTCAAACCAAGTGGACCCACATAGAAACTAAGCATAGATGTCATCCTGTTTACATGAGCACATTTCAAAAGAAGAAAAACTGATGTTCCTTGAAGAAGACCATGAATCAGGGAAATCTTAGGGAGACATCTTCCAGGGCCCCAGTGTGACCAGGACCTCAGGGCCTGGTACCCTTTACTCAATTGCTATAGCCCAGAACCTTCTTCCTAAATATCAGCTGTACAATATTTCCAACACTCATGTCACATCTCTTCATCTTTACCCCCACCATCACCTTTCATGTGACAAAAAGCTGGTTTCCCTACTTCCATTCTGAGTCTCCTACAATCTATTCTCTACATTACAGTCAAAGTGAACGTGTAAAACTGCTGCTCAGAAATCCCTTCAGAGACTTCTCCTTTGCCTCCAGGATCCAATCCCCGATCCTGCCCATCTGCTCGCTGCACTGGCCTCAGTCTGTTGCCAGCCCTCTCTCAGCAAGTCCAGCCACACTGCTGCTCAGATGCATCTGGCTGCTCTAATGCGTCTGGCTGCTCCTTGCCTCAGAGCACTCACAAAGCTCTGTTTCAGTTTCTGAACCATCCCTCCCACTACTTGGCAAAATCATCTTGTAGTTTCCATGTGTTTTTAATTTTTTCCAGTTTTATTGAGATAGCATTGACATATAACTTGGTATTAGTCCAAGGTATATCAACAACTTTGATATTTGTGTATATTGCAACGTGATAACCATAATAAATTTAGTTAGTATCCATCACCTCACAAAGTTACAAATTTTTTTTCTTGTGATGAGAACTTTTAAGATCTACTACCTTAGCAACTTTCAAATAGACAATACAGTATTGTAAACACCATGATGTACATTACATGCACAGAACTTACTTATCTTGTAAGTGGAGTTTTTACCTTTCGACCAATTTCACCCAGGTTTCGTTCCCTCTAGGCAATCCCATCTAAACTAGCTCACCCTCTGATGCCCTCTGAGAACATGCTGTAGTGTCACAACACATCAAAGCTATATATTTTTAGTTATTTCTGCCATGATTCGTTTGGTGTCTGACTCCCCCATCGGAAGGAAGTATTTGTCTGGTTTACCAATTTGATTCTTAGTACCTAGTATATGGCAGGTGTTCCTAAATCCCTACTGAACTTAATAACATCCAACAAGTATTTACCTGAGTATCTACTACTATCTACTATTGTGACTGGCACAGTCCTAAGTACTAGGGATTATGGCACAAATGAAAAAAGAGTCCTCTATGGGTGGAGCGGGGCAGGTTTAGTATATATAGACAACAAACACATAAATACACTTCAGGGGATGATATCATAGGTTCTATGGAGAAAAATAGAGCAGGGTGAGAGAGAGAGGGAGTGTGGGGTGAGAAACAGGCTGGCAATGAGCAGCAATGATAATAAAGGATCACTAGTGACATTAAGAGCAATATATTTCACTTACCTCCCAGATAGACCATTTTTTTCCAGCTCTCAGACTCCAGGATTTCGTCATGTGGGTAGTAGCTCTGGTCCATCATGAACAGAATCATGAGTGAGGCCATGCAAGAGAGAATGAATGTGTTGCCTTTGGTCAGGAGGGAGGTGGAAGCCAAAACACAGGAAGCATAGGGGCAGGGTAGACCCTTGTATGTGAAAGGAATGCCTGCAGAGAAAGAAAAGATGGGGTTAGCTGCTTCCCACTGCTCTAAAGCATCCACAGGAGGAAGCCCTTCTCTCTTTGGGTCTTCCCTACCCCGCATTCCAAATTCCCTTACTCTCAGGGCAGCGTCCAGCTGTAAAGAACTTAGTTATTCAGAGATGACATGTGGGTTTTGCACTGGATCCCCAAGGTAAAGCAGGCAGTTAGGACCAGGCCTGTGCCTTGGCCCCTAGGAAGCCTCTGTAGAAGAGGCCTTTGAGATTTTTCTGTCTGCCTCTGCAACCCCTTGCATTGTTATCTTAGGCAAGGCAATTACCCTCCCTGGAGTTCAGTTTCCCCATCTGTTTTGGGAAACTGGAGTATGACCTCTAGTTCTAGGGTCTGTGAAGCCATGTGCTCCATCCAAAGGTCACACAAGAAAAATGCAAAGCTGGTTAAAAACCAAGGGTTCCCACCCCCTAGACTAGGGTTCAGCCAAGGCAACCTGTAACCTCCAGTGGGCCTGGAGCAGGAGAGAAGGAAGGAAGAGGGTCTCCATAAAAGGAAGGAGAGGTGTCAGTTACTGCTCCCTGGGTTTCTGACATCCAACAGTTTCTCCCCTCCACAGTTTCCTACCCTCAGTCATAAGTCTGGTTTCCACTCACCGGCTGAATAAAAACAGAGGCGGAATGAAATAGCTAACACATAGATGATGGCCAGGAACCCATTCAGAGGTCCATCCACACCTAGAAGCAGGGCTGAGGCCAGGCCAAAGGTGGTGAAGACTGCAAAGTCATTCAGCTCGGTTCCTGCTCCAGAAGGCTAAAGTTAGAACTTTCACTCACATGTCTTGTATCTTAGTCCCCTCTGGTGGGGGAAGCTGGAGTGGTGACAAGCAGGATCCTGCTGTCAGGTCCCTGAGGGGCCAGAAGGCAATGCCGCTTCCTGGGGTGGTCAGCTGATCAAAGACTAGGGTCTCCTTCTGGCTCTGCCTCAAACAGACCGTGTGGCCTTAGGCAAGTCTTTTCCTGTCTAGGTCTTAGTTTTCCTGTCCTTCAACATACAAGGGTTGGACCACAATTGGAAACAAATCAATGATATGGAACCCTTTTTTTTTCAAGCAAAATCTTACTTGGAAATATTTTATTATATTTTAAGTGAGTTGCTCTGCTTGGGGTATTTTTCATTTCTCCACACCTCCATTACCACAGCCACCGCTCCCACTCCCAGATCCACCCTGAGAGGAAGACAGGGCAGATAAGCCAAGTGAAGGCCAGGAGGACAGCCAGAGATCCACAAGTGAACCAGCAGAATAGCTAGATCTAGGCTGCGGGGCTCACAAACTCCTGTTCTAGGGCTGCTTCTGCTATGCTCAGAGGGACTGAACAGGGGTGGTGACTGCCGGAAGCCTGCTGGATATTATAGGACAGGGGAGCTGACTGAATGGGTGCTCCTGGGGTCAGGATGATGAATCTGAGGCCTGGACTCACCGGATCTGGAGCAGATGTTCAGGTGTCTGGTCGCTGACCCGATAGCCATGTCTAACAGAAAGCTGACCAAAACCATCCAGGAGGCACAGGAGGATTTCCTAAAGTGCAGGCCCGCAGGCCAAACCGGACAGCTCTCTCACGGTATCAAAGAGACTCCACCCCTACCCCCCACCCCCAACTAAACCAATATGCTTCCTATGCTAGCCAGCACACATATACACACTCCTACATGCTCCCTAACTCTCATCCTTTCTGATCTGTGCTGCCTTACACACCACACACACACACACACACACACAGACTTACATCCCCTTCATACTCGTATTTTCAACCCACATTCTTAAAGGGCTGCCCTCTATAGGTAATCATTAAGAAATAAGGTCCCTTCCAATTCTAAACTCCAGGCGTATTCGATGGCAAGGGAGATCCTAGGTCCTAACCCAGCCTCCACAACCATCTCACTGTGGCCTCTGTTCCTCCATCTGTAAAATGAAAGGTTTGTATCAAATGATTTCTTTAACAGATACAAGCCTATTTAGATTATCTATTTCTCCAATGTGAGTTTTGTATCTTCGAAGGAGTTGATTTGTTCCATCTTAGGCTATCAAGTCTGTGGACACAGAGTTGTTCACAATATTCCTTTATTATACTTTTAATGTCCATGTAATGATTCCTCATTTTTCATTTCTGATATTGGTAATTTGTATCTTCTCTTTTTCTTGGATAGCCTGACTAGAGGTTTATCAATTACATTGATCTTTACAAAGAACTAGATTTTGGTTTCATTGATTTTCTTTATTGACTTCTTGTTTTCCATTTCATTGATTTCTATTCTAATTTTTATTATTTCTTTCCTTCTGCTTACTATGGATTTAACTTGCTCTTTTATTCTAGTTTCCTAAGATGGAAACCTACGTAATTGACTTTAGATCCTCCTTCTTTTCAATTTTTTCAAAGACTTTATTTTTTAGGGAAATTTTAGGTTTACAACAAAATTGAGAGTAATGCAGAGATCCATTACCCTTGTTCTCACATATGCATAGCCTCTCCCATTATCAATATCATTCAACAGAATGATACATTCTGGCCTTAGTATATGCCAAAAGTGACCCTACACTGACACATTGCAATCACTCAAAGTCCATAATTTACCTTAGGGTTCATTCTTGGTATGACATTCTGTGGTTTTGGGCAAAAGTATAATGGCATATATCCATCCTTATAACATCATACAGAATATTTTCACTGTCCTAAAATTCCTCTGTGCTCTACCTATTTATGTCCTCCCCGACCCTCCTGACAACTACAATCTTTTTATTGTCTCCATATTTTTGGAGACATATTTCCTCCATATTTTCTTTTCCAGAATGTCATGCAGTAGAGGTCATATAATATGTAGCCTTTTTAGATTGGCCTCTTTCACTTGATTATATGCATTTAATGTTCCTCCACACCTTCTTAGGGCTTAATAGCTCATTTGTTTGATATTCCATTGTCTGGATGTACCACAATTAATTTATTCATTCATCTACTGAAGGATACCTTTGTTACTTTCAAGATTTGGCACTTATGAGTAAAATATCATAATCATCTAAGTACAGGTTTTGAACATAGTTTTCAATTCACTTGCTTGATTGTATGGTAGGAGTTGGGTTTCCCTGGTGGCTCACATGGTAAAGAATCTGCCTGGAATGCAGAAGACCTGGATTCAATCCCTGGGTCAGGAAGATCTCCTGAAAAAGGGAATGGCTACCCACTCCAGTATTCTTGCCTGGAGAATCCCGTGGACAGAGGAGCCTGGCAGGCTACAGTCCATGCGATTGCAACAAGTTGGACGCGACTGAGCAACTAACACTGACACGCTGACTCATGCTAGGAGTATGCTTAGTTTGTAAGAAGCCACCAAACTATCTTCCAAAGGGGCTGGACCATCTTGCGTTCCCATCAGCAGTGAGTAAGTGCTCCTGTTGTTCCACATTTTCAGAAGCATTTGTTATTGTCAGTGTTCTGGATTCTAGTCATTTTAATAGGTGTGTAGTGATATCTCATTGTTACTTAATTTGCATTTCCATGATGACATTTGATGAGTATCTTTTCATATGCTAAAATGCCATCTGTATATCTTCTTTGGTGAGGTGTCTTAAATTCTTGGGCCATTTTCAAATTGAATTATTTTTTTATTGATGAATTTTAAGCTTTGTATATTTTGGACCATAGTTCTTTATCAGATGTATCCTTTGTAAATATTTTCTCCCAGTCTGTGGCTTGTTTTCTAGTACTCTTGACATAGACTTTGGCAGAGCAGATTTCTTTTCTAATATATGCATACAATGTATAAATTTCCCTCTAAGTACTGCATTCACCGCATCTCATACATTTTGATAAGTTGTATTTTCACTTTCATTTAGTTCAAAATATTTTTTAATTTCTCTTGAGACTTTTTTGTCTATGTATTATTTAGAAATGAGTTGTTTAACCTCCATGTATTTTGGAATTTTCTAGTTATCTTTCTGTTATTTCTAGTTTAACTCCATATGGTCTGAGAGCATACTTCATATGACTTATATTCTTTCAAGTGTGTTAAAGTATGTCTTACAGACCAGAATGTGGTCTATCTGGGTGAGCTTGAGAATAACATATATTCTGCTATTGTTGGATCAAGTATTATATAAAATATCAATTAGATCCAGTGGGTCAAGGGTACTATTCAACTATATCCTTATTGATTTTCTGCCTGCTAAATATCAAATTATGATAATAGATCCATAAAATTCTGCTTGTAGTTCTATCAGTCTTCATCTCATGTATTTTTTACACTCTAAATGATTTCCAAGATATCTTTCATACCCTACCTTCAAGGATTCCTTCTTTTTTGGCTGTGCTCGATGTCCATTGCAATGCACGGGCTTTCTCTAGTTGCAGTACTCAGTGGCATGTAGGCTCAGTAGTTGTGGGGAGCTGACTTCTCTAGTTGTGGCATATCAGCTTAGTTGCCCCATGGCATGGGGAATCTTAGTTCCCAGACCAGGGATCGAACCCACATCCCTTGCATTGGAAGGTGGATTCTTAACCACTGGACCTCCAGGGAAATCCCACTTTCAAGGATTCTATGTTTCTTTCCAGCACATGCTCCCAGACCCCCTCTGAAAGCAGCTATAACAATCTCAGGCCAACTTGCCATAGGAGGCCACACCCAAGTTGACGCACTGACTGCAATACTTGGGTGGCCCAGCAAAAGCAAACAGAGAGCCTGACCCTAGACCTCAGCTGTCCCTAAACAACCTTAGAATTTCCTTTGTTTAGACCCACATTTATGTGTCTAGAGGGGCTTCCCTGGTGGCTGAGCTGGTAAGGAATCCCCCTGTAATGCGGGAGACCTGGGTTTTTTGTTTTGTTTTTTTTTTTTTTTCTTTTCTGGAGGTGAGAGCAACAGGGATGAGGGAAGACCTGGGTTTGATTCCTGGATTGGGAAGATCCCCTGGACAAGGAAAAGGCTACCCACTCCAGTATTCAGGCCTGGAGAATTCCATGGACTATACAGTCCATGGGGTCGCAAAGAGGCAGACACAACTGAGCAACTTTCACTTCACTATGTGTCTATAGGGAATTGGGCCCACCATCATGGCCTTAAATACTACATTCCCAGATTAGGTTGAATTAAGAAGATAGAGATTTTCTGCTGCAGGTATGTCCCAATTCATTAAACCCCCAAACCTAGATTTAGAGAAATTTCAAACTGGAAGGGAACTTAAACATCATTAGGTAAAACCATCTTATTTTATGGATGAGAAACAGATCCAGAGAAGTTACTTGCTAATGGCTATAAAGAATCAAACAGATTAAAAGGACATTGCTTATATTATAAAGGACTTGTTTGTGTATGTGTTATTTGCACTCAGTTGCTCAGTTGTGTCTGACTCTTTGTGACGCCCATTGACTATAGCCTGCCAGGCTCCTCTGTCCATGGGATTTTCCAGGCGAGAATACTGGAGTAGGTTGCCATTTCCTTCTTCAGGGAAATTTTCCTGACCCAAGGATCGAACCCACATTTCCTGCATCTCCTGCATTGGCAGGCGGATTCTTTACCACTGAGCCACCTAGGAAGCCGATAAAGAACGTATCTTTTTTAAAATATTTATTTATTTATTTGACTGTGCCAGGTCTTAGTTGTGGCATGTGGGATCTTTATGTGGGATCTTCAGTTGCAGCATGTAGGATCTAGTTCCCTGACCAGGGATCGAACCCAGACCCCCTGCATTGGGAACTCGGAGTCTTAGCCACTGGACCACCAGGGAAGTCTCCATGAAGAGATTATCTTTAAAGATCTGATTTCACAAAGGCATTGAAATACAATTCAATTCATAGAAATACAATTTGCTTGCAATTTTTGGGGTGACCCATACTCATGTCTCAGACTTTCCAGAACAGGGTTAACTTTAACTATTCTGCCATGTGATATGCTCTAATTTAAGAATCAAAAAAATATTAATGGTAGCCTGCCTACCCAAGGATTGTGCAAAGGCTACAGGAATGGAATCTTGATTTTCTCATAGAAACCATTCTAGATTGCCATATCTGGAAAGATCTATAGAGATCATAGTGCCTTGTTTTAAAGATGGAGAGGGACTTCCCTGGCAGTCCAGTGGTTAAGACTATGTGCTCCCAATGCAAGGGACATGGGCTTGATCCTTGGTTGGAGAACTAAGACCCTGCATGCTGCACAGAATGACCAAAAAAAAAAAAAAAAGATGGGAGAAACTGAGGCTCCAGATGTGACCTAGCCAAGGTCATCTTCACCCCTTGACTCCTAACCCACTGCACTTTCTCCTGCCCCAAGTCAATCTGTATGCCTCAGTGCTTTGTTCTCTAGACAGACCCCTCCCTCCCTCATGCCATTGGCTCCAGCTGTTGGCAAAGAGCTTGCTGGGCCCCCAAACATACTTGCAGAAGCTGCAGAAGATGGAGAAGAGCCCCAGGATCATGTTGGCCAGGGACAAGGCATTGACAACATCCTTCCAGGTAAATTCATTCATCTGGGGATGGCTCTGCTCTTTGGTCAGGAAGAAACTGCTGCACTCACCTGGGGCCCAGGAGAGAGGGGCATGGGGTTGCCAAGGTCAAAGAGTCCCAAAAGAAGCTCCCAGGGACCAGGTGCCTCCTGTTCCCCTAGACCTCACCCCAGAACTGCACCCTCCCAACATCATTTCACTGGCTGGAATGAAGGAGACTACAGGTTGATGGAGGAGACCCAGGAGGTGAGACAAAGGTGCTGAAGATGAATGCCTGGGAAAGTTCAGTAGCAAAATGAGTGAACCATAGCTATGAATCATGAGCACAGCCTCCACCCATCTCTGACTATACCTCTTGCCTTACAGCACAGACCTCTCTCCAGCCCATACAGTGACCCTCCTGGCACCCCCATGGCCCAGGGTCCAAGGGGTATGGGCCATTCCCCAATCTGAGAGATAAGCCCCTTGTCATAAAGACCTTTATCATAAATGAGCCTCCTTTATTTTTACATTACAAAGTAAGTAAGTGTTAAGTGTTAGTCGCTCAGTCGTGCCCAACTCTTTGCAACCCCATAGACTGCAGCCCATATTCCAGGCAAGGATACTGGAGTGGGTTGCCATTTCCTTCTCCAGGGGATCTTCCCAACCCAGGGATCGAACCTGGGTCTCCTACACTGCAGGCAGATTCTTTACCGACTGAACTACAAGGGAAGACAAAGCTATTTTTAATACTCTAGAGTGAGCCCACAGGAATCAAAACACTAGGAAGAGGTAACCCCCTCACCCCTAGGAGTGGCCCAGGAGGCGAGAGGTTACCTGATGGGAGGGAAGCACAAACGGCCTGCTGCAGATTCAGGCTCCTTTGCCCCTCCAGCCACACTCCCTCCCTCAGAAGGAGAGGGTGTGGCGTAGGTGCCTCAGGGTCCTAGTTCAGACAGTCCCCAGCAGCAGGCCCAGTACCAACAGCGGAAGGGATGAGATACACAAAATGAAGACACACAGCACTGGATAGTTCACAGGACATTTTTACCACGTTCTCTCTCCTGATCCTGACAACCTGGGGAGATGCTACTATAATTTTCCCCATTTCATGGTTGAGAAAACTGAGGTCCTGAGAAATGGACATACTTGCTCACAGTCACATATTAGGTGAGTAGAATCAATCCCACCTGTTTGATTCTAAATCTGGTGCTTCTTACTAGGGGCGTGATCTCAGCAGGAGGAGGTGGGGGTGATGAGGGAGCTCCGATGGCCAGCCCAGCGGGGCAGCTACAGCCTTTCCACGCAGAAGCAGCCCCTGCCAGTCCTCCTCTCCCCCAGCCTCCTTTGGCAGCAGGGATCAGCTGGCCCTGGCCATTTTCACAGTCCCACTGTGTCTGTGTTCACTCTGAGACCAAATACGTGCACTCCTTACACACAAACTGCATTGTGAACCTTGCTTTTGGAGAAAGAGCCCCCAGTGTTCTCTGAAACAGGGAGGCCCCACTGGTTGTAAACACACTACCCACATATAGAATCCTGCACTTGAGTAAAATATACAAGTTCCAAGGTGTTTCCACGTCTGTTTTCTCATTTAATCCTCACTCATTTTCGAGGTGAGGAAGCAGAGACTCTGCTTCCATATAGCCCCTCTGTACAGCCCCAGGTGTTCTGGTCTGGGCAAGAGCTAAGACAAGTCATGGTCCTTTCCCATAAATACTGCTGCCAAAATGCAGAGGGTGAGAGGGGGCCGGACTTGGAGTTTAGAGCTAAGAGTTTATCAGGCAGCACAGCAGAGGTAACTGCTCCCATAGGCCAGCTTTATTCACCAAGGGGTATCAGTAGCTATAATGCCAAAGCCATTGGGACTTCTGAGTCCTTGTCATGCCAGACTCCCTCAAGACATAAGACAGGAAGCAATGCTAGCCAGACAAATCTGGGATGGGAAGAGGAGCAAAGGACTAGAGTTATGTTCCCTCCCTGTCAACCCTTCCCTCCTGGTCTGTCCTGAGTCTCAGGGCTGAGCTGGCAAGAACAAACACCTCTGTTCCAGTCTAGCCCACTATTGCCTGGAAGAGCAGCATCCTAGCATCTCTGTCTCTCTGCAGAGATACCTGGGGTATGTCCAACAGTTACTAGACACACCTCATCTATACTGTTTCACAGTTTAATTAATGTTCAATTAATTGTCTACCAGATTATCTTGTTCATTCACAAAGCACGTTCATCTCTGTGGTTTCCAATGGCCCTGTGAGGTCTGCCAGATAAAGCAAAGAAGACTCAGAGAGGGGAATAAACTTGTTCAAGGTCACACTGGAAGTGGCAGAACAAGACTTCCAACTTCACCTTAAGGGTTCTTTCCTGTGTACTCTGCTGTCTACCAACCAACAGGACTGATCATTTTGTATTTGTTGTAAGCTCAGATTGAGCAAAGTGCTGAGGAAAGTCCTTGGTAGCTGCCTGGACCTTACCATCTATTCAGGAAAAGAAGACTCATGCATGCATGTGGAGACTTACAGACTGTTCATGGTGATAACTCATCCTACAGGTGGGGAAACTGAGGTTTCAGGACAGTTGAACAATTTGTCCCATTTACTAGCGGAGCCAGGACTGGAATTGGGCCTCCTCTTTCCCAATTGCCATCTGCAGCATAATGCACAGGCTCCAGGTATGAAAGGATGTGGACCCAAGAGTAAGGGCTGTTGAAATTGAGAGGAAAAAAAAACAATCCATTCATTCAGCAAACATTTGGTCTTGAGACAAAAAAGATTAAAACCTGGTCTTGTCCCTCAAAAACCTGGTCTGGCAGAGGCTTCAACCCTGCACAGAAAGGAAGAGGTGACAAGGCTGCTAAGGGAGCATAGACGAGGGGTCCTGCCTGTCAAGGGGCTCAGAGAAGGCTCCTCAGAGGAGGGGTCAGAGCCGAGGCCTTGCCCAGCAGTGGCCGGCAGGACTAGCTTGTGTCGCTCCCCAGCTCCTTGGAGGTCATCAGTGGCTCCCAGCACCCTCAGGATGGAGCTCAGCTCCTTCATTTGGTATGTAAGTCCTTTCTGCATTGCCCCTTGGCCCTTCTCTGCCCGCTTCTGGTCTTGGATTGGGTGGTGATCCTCTTTGGGAAGCCTGGCACGCCCTCAAGTCTTGAGGCGCTCCTCCTCTGCACTGCCACATGTCCTGTGCTCACCGTGTGACAGCTGGCACTCTGAGTTGGCACCGCCCATGTGGTCTTCCTTCTCTAGAACAGGGAAAGGAACTTGAGTGCCGACCGAGGTCCCCGGTGCCCAGCATGAGGCCTGACAACAGAAGTTGTTCGGTGATTGTTAAACTGATGGAGCACTCTCTGTTTGCCTGAGATCCTCTCCCTGCGCTCATTTGCTCAAAGCCTGTCCAGTCTGGCCCATGAACCGCCTTCTCAAACGAACAATCCAGCCTCGTCAATGCACCCAAGTATCTACCCGATGCTTATGATCTTCCATTTACTCATTTTTAAAAATGTGCTTGCTGATGCTTGCCCTGTGCCCAGCCTGCATGTTCTGGGCACACGGAGCATCCTCAGGAGGCTGGGAATCTGGGGGGGAGGCAGATGTGTGCAGGGACAGTGAAGGCGGTGTGACGAGTGTTGTTGGACAAAGGTTTGTCAGGTTGCTGAGTGTGTCCAGGGAAGACTAAGTCTGTGAGGGGGCAGGGGAAGGCTCCACCAACATGACATTTAGGACTCTATAAGCATAAACAAAAGGGGTGGGCGGCAGCGGGGAGGGCGGGGCGGTGGCGAGGGCAGCTTTTTGGCAAAGGAAATTGCAAGAAGGAAAGCACAATGAGGAGGCTGGATGCCAGGGAGAGAGGGGCGCCTGGAGGCAGAGCCTGCAGGGAGGTCACCGTTGTGAAAGCTGGTATGATCTTGCATTGCCCCTGTGGCTTGGCAGTAATGTTTATTTAGTAAGAGGGTGTAGGAGGGTGTCTTGCTCAGATGTGGGTTGCGAGTGGAGGGTGGTCTCGAGGGGAGAGACTGAAGAAAAGGAAATCAGCCATGAGACTGGTGAGAAGAACGAAGTGAGCGAGCCGCAATGGCAGACGCTGGGGCTGCTCCTGGAAGGAGTGGGAAGGGTTGCGTGTGACTTGGGGCTTTCTCGGGAAAGGCAAAGGCGGTGCTGTGGGTTCTGTACCCAGGAATCCGGCAGCATTGGTGTGAGAACGCTCCAGGTGACACATCCCCGCGGGCAGGCGGTGAGCCACGGGCCCAGCCACTTGTGTGAGAAACGACCTGCCTCCCCACGGCCACCCCACTGCGCCCGCTACTCTTGAGGCCAGCAGCCCAACAGGGAACTGGCCTCCTCCTGACGCTGGTCCGTCCAAGCTGAAGACACCAGCGTGCTCCTTCTCGTCCCTCCCCCTCTGCTATTCCGCGCGCCCTGCGGGATGACAGCAACGGCGATGATGCCCAGGCTAAAAGATGGAAGAGACCAAGCCGGGGCTGGGCGCCAACACCTCGAGACAGCTTTCCCCACTCCCCCCGCCCCCGCCCCCACCCCTGCCGTGATCACTGACAGCGCCTGGAGGAGGCACGTGCTGCTGCGGATGCTTACCTGGGGACCAGACATTCTTAGATGGGGTGGGGGCCCACACTCCTTCCCCGCTTCCTGTGCGGTGGAGGGGCCAGCCAAGGTCAGCGGGAGCTGCCGACCCAAGCCTCTCAGCCCTGGCTCTTAGCTCACAATCCCCAGGAGGCAGGGGAGGGGCAACAGGGCTTTAGTTGGCAGGGAGAGGGGCCTCATTTTGCAGGGGAGCCCGAGGTCTTGAAGCGGCGGCACCGGGGGCGGGGTCTGAGAGGAGTGGACTAGTGTAACACGACGAATGTGGAAAGGCTCAGCAGGTGAAAAGACCAGCGTGTGCACGGTGCATGGGAGGTAGGCAGGGAGTTGGGGGGAGGTAAAGCTGTAAAGGGACGCTGGGGTCCAGCCTATGAAGGGCCCCTGCTCCTCGTGGACAGGGCTTCGGCTCTGCTTGGATCACTGCTGTATCTTTGAGCCTGTATGAATGCTAGGCATACAGTACCCTCCCACCCCCAGCCTCAGTATTGGTTGGATCAACGACAAGCTGAGTAATTTACACTCAGTCCTGAAAAATAGTACATTTTAAGGGAAATGACAAGGTCAAGTTCAGGTTTCTAAAAGGTCAATTTTATCAACTCCCTACCCCGAATCTCTCACAACCCCCAGCCAATACTCTTCACTTTAAACTAGCTCCAATTCCCCAAATGTTATATTACGTCTTGTCAATGTCCCTCACGTGCAATTTTTTTTGTCTAGAATTGTTTATCATCCTATTCATCTACCTATCTCCTAGCTGTTAGAAGTAAGAGTGTTCTGGTCAGGAGTCACTCTTCGTGACTGGCAGGACTATTTTGGTTGATGTGGCTTGTTAAATGGATATTTCTTTGTTCATTCACAATTCTATACAAAAATGAACCCTCCCCCTACCCTGAAAGACAGCCTTCCCATAGAGAGGACGGTTGGTACCTCCAGATAAGCTCTAAATCTTGTTTTTCAGTTCCCAAGCAGGTGTCAGCTCCTCCAAGTCTTCTTAAATTCTCTAAGCTGAGTTAGGTAGCTCTCCTCGGTGCTCCATGATATTCCACATGTACTTCCATCATAGACCTTTTTATACTATGTTGTAATGGCTGACTTACTCTCCCCAACTAGATTGTGAGCTTCCTGGAAATAGGGGCCTGTCTTACTCAGCTGTCATTCTCCAGAATCTGGAAGCTAGAAGGCACTTAATACTTAGTAATTAAGTATTATTTACTTATTTATGGGTGGGTGGATGGGTAAATGAAAAATGGTTACTCTATATAATCACTGGGTCTTAGTCCCTCTAGGAGATGTTACCTCCAAAATCACTTCCCAGTGCTCTTTTCTCTGAACTTGGTAACCGGCTTAACCAGGAAATCACAATGGCACCACCTAGTGGTCAATGTAGGGAGTAGAGTGAAGTAAGCCAGACCTTATCAATTGTGCAGCAGCAGCAGTCCATAGGGCAGCAGAGTCAGACACGACTGAAGCAACTTAGTGCACACACATACCCACACACTGGAATTACACACTATCGCTAGCCAAGCTAGGCTGTTTGTCATCCTCCAGTACCCAATACTCTGCTTCCTAGATGAATTTGAAGCTAGAGGTGCACAAACTATTAAATAGCCTCAACCCCAATCTTAAACACTTCTAGTTACAAAACACTAAGTGTTTCTGGAAAATGACTCGCCAGCCTTTTTTGCAGGAAGAAGAAAACTTTCCTTCTTTAATGCTCTAACTTATGAGAGAACAGATGGAGATAAAGGAGAAGCAAAGTACACTGGCTGGTCCTCTGAAACCGACCAGTTGGGTACATGTGACCCAGAGAGGATCCCAAAAGAGACTGATATGATTCTACCATCCCACCTAAAAGTAACAACAGCGTTTCCATCCACACAGGATCACCTTCAAAGAAGTTCATGATTCACCCACACGACTTCGTCTCTCTTGCTACCTCCCACCAAGGCAGAGGTTGGGGCAACAAGGAGGTGACAGGTCCATGTCCTAATAGCCTTTGTCAGAGTCCACTCTCAGTGGACCTGAACTCCTGGAAGCTGGGTTCAGTACTTGGAGGCAGAGCCACTGGCTGGTTTAGCAACTTGTTCACGACACTGATTTTAGCATCCTGCTTCTCAATATCCTCATACGGAGTCCAGGACAGGTCATGCTGGAGCTTGTAGGCACCAAGGAAGTCATGTGGACAACTCATCCCCCATTCCTAGAGAAGGCAAAGGAGTCAGTTCTGATCAGGGCAGGAGGTAAAGAAGTTGAGTCCATTTCCTAATTATACCACAATTTTCTTTTTTGGCTTTTCACTTCAGACCAGTCAGAATCATCCTTGGAAATCAATGCATTACACATCAGGTACCTCCTTGAACAGATATAATGATTGTGAAATAATTTAAGCGCATATATTTTTCAGAGTCATCTCTGGGCTCATGCCACCTCTAGTTTTCTAGAAAATCACTTACCAACCCCTATGCCTACATTTTCTCACACATAACACATACACACAAACACACTACACCAAGAATTTCTTAAAGACGAGAGTAGGTTTTTGTAGCAACAATTAAATGTTCTTACCTCTGGAGAAATAATGGAAAAATACTGCTGACCACTCTCCCGTTTATAAAGGTAGTAAATGTTGCCAGGTTTTTTCACTATATTACAAGCTACATGGTGCAAGTCAGCATCTCTGCGAGCATCCTCCAACACCTAAAATCCACAGAGATGTAACCAATTAGGCATAAGAGATAACAGCACTCATACTCAATGATCACCCCATGCAAAAGCTGGAACCTGTTCAATGCTTAGGGTCTTGCTCCCTCACATCAATGAATCATGACTGAGATCCAGATGACACTGAAGAGAAAAATTAGACTACGTTATGCTACTATGTTATAAAAATGCCTTTGGAAAACTTGTATTTCAAAATGTAGAGTATTACTGGCTTTGGGTGGTTTTTAAATTTCTTCCCAATTTTTCAGTGGTAAGTACATTTCTTTTATAACTGAAACAAATTTTTCCCCTTAAGATGCTTTACCTCACTGAGCTTTCTCCCAGTGAAAAACCTTATCCTTAACCTCTTGGGCTTATTCTATTTTGCTCAACACTTCTATATTTCTAGGAGGTACTGAAACAAGTAAGTTACAGTGATTATAAGCAAGTTCAGTCAATCCTGTGAACTAAATGAAAATAAAAGCTTACCGAAAAGCTACTACTTACCTTCCTGGCTTGTTCCTGCAAATGTTCGATTTGCTCAGCTATGACTGTCAGCTTGTTGGTGGCATTTGCTCTGATGAATTCATTAGCCTAAGGGAGAGAAAAAACCAAACTGTGAGTCAGAAAAGAGTAAGACTTTATGATGCTTTTATTTAGATCCCAATGTGAAATTATGTCAACATGTTGGCTTTTGCCTATCATACCCTTCCCATTTTCACCACTCCCCCATGAATACCCGCTCATCCCAAGGCCTAGCTCAGAAGGCACCGCCTAGGAGAAGTCAATGCTGACACGACCCCATACCATGGAAATAAGTGCTCTTTTCCTATCTCCCAAAGCATCTGTCTTGTTCACTCTAGATTCTGGTCACACTCAAAATTTTCAGTCTTCCAATATGCCCCAATCTCTTTTGCTTCCAAGTAATTTTGCATATGCCCTCTCTTCCATCCATTTCCCCTCTTGCTCTTTTGCCTGACTAACCCCACTTATTCCTCAGTTCTCCATCTATTTTCTCACACTTAAACATTTCTGAAATCAGGGATGGGTCTTACGATGAAAATCCGAAGACACTTGTGGTATGTCTCTTATGACCTGCGATATAGAAACCTGACTATATATAGAAGGTATCTGGGTTTTTTTTAATTAATTTATTTATTTTAATTGGAGGTGAAATACTTTACAATATTGTAGTGGTTTTTGCCATACATTGACATGAATCAGCCATGGGTGTACATGTGTTCCCCATCCCGAACCTCCCTCCCACCTCCCTTCCCATTCCATCCCTCAGCGTCATCCCAGTGCACCAGCCCTGAGCACCTTGTCTCATGCATCGAACCTGGACTGGCGATCTGTTTCACATATGATAATATACATGTTTCAATGCTATTAGAAGGTATCTGTTAAACTGACCATTATTCAGTTGAATTATTTACATCACACTTAATTATATTTAACTAATATTTGCATTCCTGCTACTTAAAATGTGTTTTTAAAAGACTGTAAGCTCAGTGGGTAAAGAATCTGCCTGAAAGGCAGGAGACCCAGATTCAATTCCTGGGTCAGAAAGATACCCTGGAGAAGGAAATGGCAACCCACTACAGTATTCTTGCCGGGAGAATCCCATGGACACAGGAGCCTGGCAGGCTACAGTCCATGGGGTTGCAAGGGTCGGACACAACTTAGCAACTCAACCACCACCACTATGATGTAGATCTGGAACAATTATAACATACACAGAAGATTGTCATGTGCTAGGAAATTCAACTGAAGGCACTGGAAATCGCTTTAAGAAAAAATATCTTTCAAAGCTAGGAGACACATATGTAACCAACATATGTACTGGGAAGGATTATCATTCACACATCAGAAATCTGTCAAAAAACTTCCAGATTTCTTTTCACAAAAAGCTGATTAACTTTTTTTTTGGCTCTGTCCAACCAGAGATTGAATCAAGGCCCCAGCAATGAAAGCACAGAAGAAAGACTACCTCTAACGACTAAGCACAAACTCTGGCCCTAATCACTCTGAGGCCCGTTGCATATTATCTCATTTAATTCTCATAATACCTGATGAACTTGGAGATGATAACTTCACTTTCTCATTTTAGATTTAGACTCAGACAGGTGAAGTATCCTGTCCAAGGTTTCAAGGCTTCCCTGATGGCTCAGTGGTATAGAATCTGCACGCCAATGCAGGAGATGGAGGAGAGGCTCCCTGCGTTGGGAAGATGCCCTGGAGAAGGAAATGGCCACACATGACAGTATTCTTGTATTCTTGCCAGGATAATCTCATGGACAGAGGAGGCTGGCGGGCTACAGTCCAAAGGGTCACAGTCGGTCACAACTAAGTACACACACACATCCACAAATCTCAAAACAGATCAGTCTGATTCTAAATTTCATGCCTTAGGTTTCTTGTGCTTTCCAACACACATGAATACCTAAATGGCATGTAAGAAGTCAGTCCTGCTATAAAGTACATTTCAGTTCACAAACTGAAATACACTTGATTCTGTTTATCTTCAGAGTGCTTTTTCTTCAGTTTTTCAAAGACTAATGTTGGAAAAATGGAGGCAGCACAATAATTCATACTCTGTATTTCACTAGATTACAGACTGAAGGACAAAAACCGTCTTCCTTCTTTCTTTTCCATGTCATTGTAGTAAACATGCCACTCAATAACCCACCGAAAATGTTTGCCTAAGATGTGACTCTGGGAGCTTCCCTGCCAATAAGTGATTTGATTCAAGAGACATATAAAGTCAAAGTGAAAGTCACTCAGTCATGTCCAACTCTTTGCGACCGCATGGACTATACAGTCCATGGAATTCTCCAGGCTGGAATACTGTAGTGGGTAGCCTTTCCCTCCTCCAGGGGATCTTCCCGACCCAGGAATCGAACCGGAGTCTCCTGCATTGCAGGCAGATTCTTTACCAACTGAGTTATCAGGGAAGCCCACATAATGTTTTCCTAATCCATAAAAGACATATTTTGCTTTTCACCTCTCTAGGAAAGAGAAAGCACACAATATATCAAAGGAGATTTCCTAAGCATTTGAAAACAAAACTGAGGTACCGAGACATACACGTAATGGAACTTGAACACATTATTAAAATTTTTGAGCAAAATGAAGGCCTTTGAATATAACCAAGGCCAAATGTGATCATATACACGAGGATGAGGGGATATCATAAACTTTAAAGTAGCAATGCCCTATATCTGTACATCTCTACAACTGGAAGTCTTGGTAAAAAAGATTAGAGGAAATCTGGATTTTCAAGAATTTCAGACCAAAGAGTTCTCCTAGTTCACAAAAGAAGCTGAGGTCCAGAGAATTACCTCAAGTCACAGTGCAAGTTAATATCAAAACTGGGGTTAAAATTCATGTGTTCAAACTCCCAGTAACCCTGGGAGAACGGTTCCGATGAAGCAAGGGGAGAAGCCAGGTTTTGCAACAAAAGGCAGGTAGTCTGAACATCAAAAGACTATTACTAATTAAAGAAAACCAGGTAATCCAAATTAAAGAATTAAGCGCTTTTCTATTTATGTGAAGATACAAGAGTCTGGACTCACTGAAATCATTCCTTTGATATGCACCTCAGCTATCTGAGGCAGCACCCTGTTTTCATCCTGAGCTTCCTCAGGGCTCACTATAGGGAGTGGCTGCAGTCTGATGGCTGCTAGATGACCGCTAGATGGGAGATATTCTTTCCTTCCTGAGTTCCCTCAGGGCTCACTACCTGTGAAGGCAGCAATTGCTAAGGACTGTGACATCCTTATTTACTCAAACAGCATGAAATATTCCATTTCTCAGAGATTATGGGCACTCAAGTTGCAGCTGAAGGGGTGTTTGGTCTCAGAAGATCAGCTGGAGTCAGGCCACCAACTGGCCATGAACATCAGTATTCCCCGCGTGTAAAATGGAGACAAGAAAAAACACTACTCCACACTAAGTAGCTGGGAGGACCAAATATGCAAGAAGATAGTCATTCACTATCCCAGCCCCGCCTCCTCACCTTCTGCACCTGCTCTGCGAGCGCCACGAGGTCTAAAGGGTCCCCGGCCCGGTGGGTGTGGTAGGGACTCACCAGGGCCAGGCCGCCGGGGTTCGGGATGAGCTCCACCAGGGCTCCTGCGACACATATCCAGCAACATAGGCCGTGAGCGCCCGCCCTCGGCCTCCCGTGGAGCCCGGCAGACTAGCTGCTCCGGAAGGGCTTCTTTTCCCCATCTGACTCCCGCCTACCTCCCCGACCTGCCGCCGACAGAACTCCTTGGTTTTCTGTGACTCCCTGGGTCCCCCCGGGCGTTGCAGCATCTTCCATGACAGGACTGTTCTCCTCACTAACCAAGCGGCGCGAGGTTGCAGAGCATGCGCAAAAAGGCCCGTGGGCGGAGTTTCCGCGTCTTCTGACCACTAGGCGTCCGAACTGCCAGAAGTCCGGAGGTGGGGCTCCTGCGGACGCTTCCTCTGAGGGGCGGAGTCAAGGCTGGGGAAGGCAGAAGAGGTGGTGCCTCCTGGGAGACGCCGCCGGGTTTGAGAGCAGGGGGTTCGTCTAGGGCGGGGCTTCCCTCGAGGGCGGGGCTTCCCGGAGGTGGGACTCCAACCTCCCTGGCCGGTGACCAGGGGTCCCGTTAGGTCTGAGAGGCAATGGCGGCACGCGCGTTAAGGCTGCTGACCACATTGCTGGCGGTCGCCGCCACTGCCTCCCAGACTGAGGCCGAGTCCGAGGCGGGATGGGACCTGACGGCGCCTGATCTGCTGTTCGCGGAGGGGACGGCGGCCTATGCTCGCGGGGACTGGGCCGGTGTGGTTCTGAGCATGGAGCGGGCGCTGCGCTCGCGGGCCGCCCTGCGCGCTCTCCGCCTGCGCTGCCGCACCCGGTGTGCCGCTGACCTCCCCTGGGAGGTGGACCCAGACTCGCCCCGCAGCCTGGCGCAGGCTTCAGGTGCCTCCGCCCTGCAAGACCTGCGGTTCTTCGGGGGTTTGCTGCGCCGCGCCGCTTGCCTGCGCCGTTGCCTCGGGCCGTCGACCGCCCACTCGCTCAGCGAGGAGCTGGAGTTGGAGTTCCGCAAGCGGAGCCCCTACAACTACCTGCAGGTCGCCTACTTCAAGGTGCAGACCTGCCCGGGCCCCGGGAGGCTGGGGGTCCTTCTGGGCGTGGTTGGTTCGGGGAACTTGGGGGGCGAGAGACGTGTCCGCGGAGAGGGAAAGTGGCCTCTTGGACGAGAAACTTTTCCCGGATCCAGGGAGAGCAGGGACCCTGCCAGGAGACCAGCCTCTCCGTGTTCGCATAGCCAGATGGTGACCCCAAAAGTCCAGCCTGGGGCTAAGGCACATGCCAAGCAAAACTTTTTCTCGTGTTACTCGGGAAGCCGCTTATAGGGAACTACAGCGGCAGCTGTAGTAAATCCTGATTTCATTGTAAGTTACCCAGTGAGAAGCTAAGACCTTTCTACAATATCTTCCTTCCGGTTTGCTTTTCAGTGATGCTCTTCCTGCCGCCCGAGTGCAGCAGCCTTTTTTCAGGACGTGAGGTTGCCACGTCGCCAGTAGGGGCTGTCTGGCCCCTCCCCGTGAGGGACCCTCTGGCTAGTGTCAGGTTTCCAAAGAAAATGAACATTTTTAGGAATTCCAGAGTGCCTTAAGTCCAAGTGTACCCAGATTTGGAGCGCTTCTGATTTATGATGATAAAGATAGCCAAAACAGACTTCCAGGCTTTTTAGGTACTTTGTGTTTGTTAGTTCATTTACCCAGATCCTGGCAATATCCTGTAAAGTAGATGCTATTAATAGCCCCATTTTATTGGGGAGAGAATGGAAGGAGGAGCTCTGCGGGCTTGTCTATTATATCCATAGTTTAACAACGCTTCATTTAAACTTACAGACTTACTAAGTCTTGGGGACCTCAGATTTCCACCTCTGCACAAGCATTCTGCTTACACAGTTCTGCTCCATTCCTCCTAGTTTCCCAGAGGAGTACCAGATTTGACACCAAAATAATTGGGCTGTGTCTTTGGTTATGTCACTTAACAACACTTTTAAAAATTCTTTGACAAACATTTACTAAACACTTATACATTCCAGTTTTTGAACAGGTAATGTGCTTGACTTTGTATGGTTTTTTTTTTACCTCGCTTTGTAGTTTAAGAGTCACTTTAGTAGTAAGGGCTACTAAAACAGTATGTATATCCTGCTGTGGAAACACAACAGAGGAAGAATCTAACTGTGTGTCAGAGAAGTTGGACTTGAAAGAAGAGGTGACATTCGAAGCTGATCCCAACTATTGCCAGAGGAGGGGAAGGATAGCCATTTCTGACAGAGTAGGGACAGAGTGGGAAGAGAATTCTGCAGATTTCATGGACCCATCATCAGAACTGGGTTGTAGGATGCTGATTCTGGAAACCATGTGGGATAAGCCTTGGGAGAAGGAGAAAGTGGTGGCCGAGTGAACCATTAGGAGATGACTGCAGTTGTCCACCTGAGAGGGAGAAATCAGGTGTCTTGTGCTCAGAGGGTAAAAAAGGGCTGGAGGTGGAGTGAAGAGTGTAGAGATGGAGGAGAATGGAGAAAGGCAAGAGTAGTGCTGAAAGATACAAGAGAGAGAGTCAGTCCATAAAAGGGACAGACTTGGGAGAATTTCTGGAGAAGGAAATGGCAACCCACTCCAGTACTCTTGCCTGGATAATCCCACTGATGGAGAATCCTGGTGCAGGCTACAGTCCATGGGGTTGCAAAGAGTCAGACACGACTGAGCGACTTCACTTTCACTTTGAGAGAATTTCTGATTTTACAGCTAGGGATACTGAGGGACAGAGATGGGAATTGTTGACCTTGGGTCACCTAGCTATTTGGGGGTCACAGCCAGGACTGACTCCTTGTCTAGTGTGCATTTACTAGTACTAAAGTCAGAAAAGAAAAAATTTTTCTTGGCATATTAGTCATGTGCTGGGAAGAACTGACACAGTGGAAAAGACTCTGATGCTGGGAAATGTTGAAGGCAGGAGAAGGGGACAACAGAGGATGAGATGGTTGGATGGCATCACCGATTCAATGCACATGAATTTGAGCAAGCTCCGGGAGTTGGTGATGGACAGGGAAGCCTGGTGTGCTGCAGTCCATAGGGTCACAAAGAGTTGGACATAACTGAGCAACTGAACTGAACTGAGGATTTACATTCATTGAGCTGACATTTATTAAGCATTTAATATGTGCCCAGTGCCATGTGTTAGAAGCTGCATATATATCCTCTCATTTAACTTTCCCTGTGATCCTGTGAGATTAGGGAAGGTATTTATATATTTATTTATTCATTTTTGGCTGTGCTGGGTCTTCATTGCTGTTTGGGGGCTTTTCTCTAGTTACGATGAGTGGGGGCTACTCTCTAGTTGTGGTGCTTGGGCTTCTCACTATAGTGACTTCTCTTGTTGCAGAGCACAGGCTCTAGGGCTTCAGTAGTTGTGGTGCACAAGCTTAATTGCCTGCAGCATGTGAAATCTTCCCAGACCAGGGATCAAACACCTGTGCCCTGCATTGCCAGGCAGATTCTTTTTTTTTTTTTTTTTAGTTCTACCATTTTATTGCTACCAACCCATCTCCCTCCATCCTCCTGCACACATGCTTAGTCATGTAACCCCATGGACTGCAGCCCGCCAGGCTCCTCTGTCCATGGACTTTTCCAGGCAAGAATACTGGAGTGGGTTGCCATTTCCTTCTCCATGCCAGGCAGATTCTTAACCACTGGACCACTAGCAAAGTCCAGGGAATGAGTTTAGAGAATAAACTTTCACTTGTCTAAAGCCCCAGCAAGAGAATAATTAAACCTACCATTGTTACCAGTCTGATACCACAACCCATGTTGTTAATCATTATATCATCAGTGATTTCTTCTGGATTCTATATATAAAGCTGAATAATTTTGGTATTCTGGAGTCCATTGCTCTAAGCATTACTGTGACCTGTAGCACATTTCTTCCCCTCTCATATTTCTGTAAAGTCACTAGTTTTAACCTCATGAGCCCTGGGCTTTGAAAAGTCAGAAGATGTCATGTCTGGATTTTGAATAGGACCTTAAGACTTTTCGCCACCCACCTTTTCCTTGAATGAGTCAAAAGCACATATGCAAAAAAAAAAAGCTTTTTATTTTTTTCTAGGCAAATTCTTAGGCATGGCCTAATTGTTAACTGCACTTTCTCCCCTTCCCCTAAATCCTTGAGTTGTTGGACTTTTTCAGCTCAATCCCTACATCTGAATCTCGAGAGTGTATTATCTCAGGCAGTCAGTCTTCCATAGCATTCCCCCTACAATACCACCTTTGTTTTAGAATAGAATGTTTATACTTTTGAAGCATGACCTCCTGTAATTTGAGGAATCCCTAATCCTGATTTGAGAAATAGCTCAAATCTGTTCAGGGCCCTGTGCTTCTAATCTCTGGTATGTAGTTTCTTGCAATAGGTGTGTTTTCTGGGCTTGGGAGGGGCTGGGGCACGCTGAGTGGAAGGCTCAGGAAGGCAGGGATTTCCTGTTTACTGTGACCTGCTTATTTGGACACCAAACTTCAGGGTTTTCATGTGACAACTATGTTTTTATTCTTCATCCTTAGATAAACAAGTTGGAGAAAGCTGTCGCAGCAGCCCATACCTTCTTCGTGGGCAACCCTGAACACATGGAGATGCGACAGAACCTGGACTATTACCAGACCATGTCTGGGGTGAAGGAGGCTGACTTCAAGGATCTTGAGGCCAAACCCCATATGGTGAAAAAAAAACAAAACAAAAAGCGTTATCCTCTTCTCTCACTCTTTATTATAGTGACATTCACTAGGGTTGTTTTCAGATTACAAAAGTAATGTATGTTCATTGTACAACATTAGAAAAATGCAAATACATAAAAAAATAGGAATTAATTATCTCTAACAGTGCTACATTTAGAAAACTAGTGGTTGATATTTTGGTCTATGTTTTAAGTCTTCAGGACCTAATTTTTATGGGCTTCCCTGATGCGTTAGTGGTAAGGAATCCCCCTATCAATGCAGGAGACAAAGGGTTTGATCACTGGGTCAGGAAAATCCCTGGAGAAGGAAGTGGCAACCTACTCCAGTATTCTTGCCTGGGAAATCTCATGGACAGAGAAGCCTGGTGGGCTACAGTCCATGGGGTAGCAAAAGAGTTGGACGAAACTTAGCGACTAAACAACAGCAGCAAATCTAATTTTTAAACCTAATTTGGTGTCAGATTGTGTGTATTTTTTGGCATTGACAGGCAGACTCTTTCCCACTGAGCCACCAGGGAAGCCCATGTATGTGTATTTTTTATCATCCCTTTGA